ATAATCCCTCCGTATATACACAACCACTGTACCTAGCCAGATAGTGTATATACAAATCTTATACTAGGCTACTATTAGCATCCTTCTGAGGTATCATTTTGATGCAAGCACCAGGTGCCAGAATAAATGTAGTGAAAATGGCTGAAAAATGAATATATATTGTAAAATTTATACAATGACACAGACCCCAGAGTAAAATATGGTTAAGTCTTAGTAAAGTTCTATGCTGTATGATGTTTCTGTAACAAAATTACAGCATGGTAACAAAATTGGATGAATGAGCTGCAGTGACAACTACATTCATTACAAAATGAAGAGGTGTATGCCTATATTCTATAGACATCACCAGCAGCTGGAATATCTATAGTGGTATACTGAATGCATCTGCTAGTAAAAATTATTCTGTACAGCAAATTTTGTGTCTCTATTCCTGAGTGCTGTGGAGATATAGATATACATATTTTCTTGGTAAAACAATACCAATGTAACTGTCTCCACAGCTCATTCATCCAATTTTGTTACCATGCTGTAATTTTGTTACAGAAACATCATACAGCATAGAACTTTACTAAGACTTAACCATATTTTACTCTGGGGTCTGTGTCATTGTATAAATTTTACAATATATATTCATTTTTCAGCCATTTTCACTACATTTATTCTGGCACCTGGTGCTTGCATCAAAGTGATACCTCAGAAGGATGCTAATAGTAGCCTAGTATAAGATTTGTATATACACTATCTGGCTAGGTACAGTGGTTGTGTATATACGGAGGGATTATAACACCCCTTTGTAGTGTTGTGCGTTATTTTTGGCGGCCACTGTAGGCTTACACAGGAAGTGAAAAATTAAAAATAGACCGACACCAGCAGGATTCGAACCTGCGCCCTCAAAGAGGAGTTGATGTTCAAACTAATTCGAATCAACCGCCGTAACCACTTGGCTATAGTGCCCCTGCCAAAATGGTCTACATATATTTTATCAAACGCAAAGATCAAATACAGCCGCGGATTAGAGGCAAGTCAACAACCCGGAGATCCTATCCAAAACCGCAGCCTGTGTAGTTGCATCCACATCCGTCTTAGCGTTAGCATCAATGACAGTCACACTAACATGGCATCCAGAACCTTGAACCACAGTTGTCTCGTCCGGGAGGTGATCGGTACCGCAGGTGGTCACGTCCGTGGCGCTAGAGTTCACAACGAGGCGAGTGAAGACGAAGTTGAAGTCGGAGACGGAGGAACAGCCGGATGTCGAAGGGAAGTTGATATTTATCGTCGTATTGACAGGAACGATGGGCTGGGCAGGCGACGCAAGGAGGGCTTCGACAAATGTGACAGTGAGCTGAGAGTAGGCAAGCGCCGCAAGAGTTGCAGTGGAGTCAGGCGAGGTCTCGAGGGTCGTAAATGAGACTTGAGAAGTAGAAGCGCCGGAGAACGCTGTTGAGGGAATGCCTTCTTTCGCGGCCTCGCAGGCTGCTCCACTGAATCTACCAGTCAGAGACATGCGAGATCTCGAGAGCATGGGTCGGTACATACACTGTGCCAGACCCAAGAATAACCTCGCCCAGGTTGTCTATATCATGGCGTCGTCGTAACATATCTCAATTCAAAATGTGTAATACTCACTCCCAACGTTAGGGCCGGAAACAACGAACTCTGGCGGACCACCGAAGAACTGCGGACTAAGAGTCTGGATGCCGAAACGGACAGCATCAACGCTTTAATGTGAAGCAGCATGTCAGCAGTTTCGACTTTTTGGCTTATCTGGACGACCTACGGGAAAGAGTTGACCCAGTTAAGACGAGCTGTAACCGGAGGTTAATCCCGGACCGCAGACGAATGACGAGACAGCCTACGGTCGCTGGTATTGAAACCTTCCGCTGGTGATCCAGTAGGACACGTATCGAATTCGCAAGGCTCGGTCAGTGGGGTAGGTGGAGCCGTGTCTGAGCTGGTACCAGACTCATTCTCTGTGGGCGCAGACAAGATCACCTGTTGGTACAATCAGAGTAGTCCTGGTTGCTGTACGGTGTATCCACTGCGCACGTTAAAGCCAGCCGCCTCCAAAGCATCGTTCTGAGCACGAATCTGAGCAGTAGCCCACCCATCATCGTTGGTGAGGAGGATGTTCTGACATTGCGCAACAACTGCAAGAGAGGCAAGGACGAAGAGAGAGCGGAAGAGCATCTCCACTGGTGTCGCTATCAATATACTGCGGCTCGTCTATGGGACAGGCTCTTAAATATGTCGATAGCCGACTGGTGCGACGCACGTTCATGCACGTTGCATGTGAAGGTCTGGGAGCTGAACGCAAAGGTATTGTACTAGTTTATCAAACAAAGGTACGAACATGTATAGACTGCAAGCGGTGTGACCAATCCTTGCATATCTGGCTCGCGTGTGAGGTAGCTCTTGTAGAAATGACCAATGTGTGGGATGTGGTCGCATAGATCAGGGGCAGAAGGAGGCAAGCAAGGCGAGTTCGATTGAGAACACATGACATCTAAGCTATACATTATGGGAAAACATCAGTAAAGTAGTGTGGCCACATGTAGAAGCGTGCCAAATGTAAGTCTACTCACGGGAGTAAATGCGCCAGCGACGGCCTTCTATTCCTCGCCACCCCCAGCAGCTTCGTCTACGTCCCGCGCGGCTCGCCGTGCACCCTTACCCCGCCTCCAACGCTCGTTCGAGACCTCAACAGCATCAAGCCTCTGCCGTTCTAGAATTGGGACGTAAAGTGCGGTGTCTTTCTGCTGGGCGCCTCCCAGAGGCACGCCAAAGACCACGCCCTTCGGTATGGCAGATCGGTCTGGGCCAGTGGGGAAAAATTCCGGTGGCATATCATGATACTGCGTAGCGGCCTTGAAGAAGTGCTCATGCAATGCGGCGTGAGTGAGGCTACGCTCGTGAACAGCGCGAAGCTGCGTGCACACGTTCTTGGCGAATGACTTCGTGATCTTCGTCGAGCCTTCAGCGTCCTTATAGTCTGTTCGCCACGAGACGTCGCCGCTTGCGAAACCGGTATCCCATAGCACAAGCGGAAGTGCGTCGGCCATCTGATAAATAGGCTTAGTCGTGACCACTGATGGAACCGGTTCGCCAAGACGGTACGAGGGATATGGGTTGTCTGGGTCGGTGTTCAGAAGGGTGGTCATGATCGAAGGTTCCTCGAGGCCTGCACCGATTAGGAAGAGAATGGCCATGATATGCCTGACTTGGTTGTACAAGAATGCCGTGCCAACCAGATCGAAGACATACATTTGCGAAGGACTACCACGATCAGTAATATCAACAGGGTTGATTTCAGCGCGAAGAATGCGGCGTCGAAAAGTCGTAAGCTGCTTCGCGGGATCAAGCTTATGGAGGTTGCGAAAATCATGCTCGCCGACGAGCCTCTCAGCACCGTCGCACATTGCCTTGGTGTTGAGCCCACGAGAAAGGAAGAAGTATTTGTAATGCCGATAACGACAGTTATACCGGGCGGAAAAGTCTTCTGAGACCGGAGACCATGCTAGGACACGGATTGACGGAGGGAGGATATTGTTAAGGCTGGACACGTACTTCAACTCGTCGTTATTGTCCGAGCTCATTCTGATGTTGTTCGCAGGGGGGAGGACGGTGTTGGTCGGAGGCTCGTCCCAGGTACTTAAAGCACCGAAGACATTCTCGAGACCAGTTGACTCATGTTCATCATCGAGGGAGGGAGCTTCCGCTGTGGTACCTTCCCTAACTTCGGACGACGGAGCTTGCGACGAGGATATTATCGATGCAGGGGTTTGAAGACCTCTCAGCGCGCTCCGAATGCGGAAGCTGACCACTTGTCCAGCAGCACTAACCCCACAATCTGTACGACCGCATTTCTCCCAGCCTACGCCTTCCATGCCGCCTGCGGGATCCACTAGACGAGTGTGCAAGAGGGCTCGCCAAAGTACTTCTTCCACCGTAGGCAGCGGAGTTGGGTCCCTTTGAAACTCGAGGCCATTGAAGAAGGTGCCATCGTATGAGAACTTCAGTGCGATTTTTCGAGTGGGGTGCGCGGAGAAGTTGAATGCTTTATTGCCCATTTTCGATGCGGGGGTTGTATGTGGGCCTTTGCCTTTGCTTTGAATGTTCTTCAGCTTCGTCTTCGCTTCCTTGCGTGAACCCTCCAATTCGAGGATGCGAGCGATAAGCTCGTCTTTGGTATATACGTCGTAGTGCTGAGCTTTTGACATAGTCTTTCGCCGCAGAAGGCTGTGGACACCGCGTCTCATACAACCCTAAAGAGCCCGCCTACCTGTCTATGGCGAACACACCCTTTCTGTAGAAGCGAGCACACGTCAGAATGGCTCTATGCAAGGCAGCGAACGTTCGGAAAAAGAAAGTCTGAGCCACTGCTTGTAGCTATCGTACAGCTTCGAGCTGTCGTTCAAGCTTGTTCGCACACCATGTGCACCGCAGTTTCCTATGGCTGCCATACGCTGGCACATTAACCTTCATGGGTACATACATGCGACGGATAGAAGACGGCTCATAGTAGGCAGACCCGAGTTCGTTCGGGTGTATCAAGTAGATGACGGTGAAGACTTGACATCGGGGACATCAATATCTTGGGAGAGTGATCCATATTTGTTGCTTCCTACCGAAAATCTTTATGTGGTGATTTATGCCTATTTTGGATAACGCTAATGCAAATAGCCCGAGCCTAGTTCCTCGCGAAACTCTATTGTAATCGCGGACCACTGACTCGACCCACCGTAGACATCGATTGTATGCGAATATAGCACCTGTCTCGCCGGCCAGTCATCATTCTCGATCTTTGGAGAAACCTCCATCTACCTCGTCTGCGCGCGAGTTGTACTATACGCCTTAGATCCAACATGGCTGCCCCGACAGGTCCTATCGAGCTTGCTCAGGTGCGTTCTCTGCAGCTACAACGCTTACTTTTGACTTATACTTCCACAGACTGGCAAGCGTGACTACTTGAGGTCCCTTGAAGTAAAATACCAGGAGCGATGGGCCAAAGAACGCATTTTCGAGGTCAACGCACCGACTCTTGAGGAGATGAGAGGCATGGCCGCGACCCAAGTCCGCGAGAAGTACCCGAAATGGTTCGGAAACTTCCCCTACCCGTACATGAATGGATCCCTGCATCTTGGACATGCCTTCACCATCTCCAAAATCGAGTTTGCCGCAGGCTTCCAGCGCATGCTTGGCAAGCGCGCTCTGTTCCCCCATGGATTCCACTGCACGGGTATGCCAATCAAGGTATGTATGAGATCGCGTGCTGCTGAGGTTGTCTGACGTTTATTAGGCAGCTGCAGATAAAATCGTCCGCGAAATAGAAATGTTCGGCCCCGACTTCGAAAAGTTCGACGCTCAAGAAGAGGCGGTACACCCACACTCTCATGCCATTCCGACAACAACCGAAGACGATCCCGGCTCAAATCGTGTAGACAAGGCAAAGAAGGGCAAGGTTGCAGCGAAGGCAACTGGTCTGCAGTACCAGTTCCAGATCATGGAGTCCATCGGTGTCCCTCGCTCTGAGATCAAGAAGTTCGCCGACCCATACTACTGGCTCGATTACTTCCCGCCAATCTGCATGGACGATCACGCTGCGTTCGGTTCTCGTATCGACTGGCGCCGCTCGTTCATCACGACTGACAGGAATCCGTATTACGACACCTTTGTCCGCTGGCAAACCAATAAGCTCTACAGCCTGGGAAAGATTAAGTTTGGTGAACGTTACACCATCTACTCACCGAAGGATGGTCAGCCCTGCATGGACCACGACCGTTCTGAGGGTGAAGCGCTTGGTCCTCAAGAGTACACCGGAATCAAGATGGCGGTCGTGCAGTGGAGCGATGCTGCGAAGGCGGAGGTCGAAGGCAAGGTTGGCGGGCGCGGGGTCTTCCTCGTCGCGGCAACTCTCCGCCCAGAAACGATGTACGGCCAAACGAACTGCTTCGTGGGCCCAGCTCTCAAGTACGGTGTGTTCGCCGTCAGTGACAACGAAGCTTTCGTCTGCACGTACCGTGCCGCGCGCAACATGGCCTTCCAAGGCATCTTCGCGACGCGTGGAGAGGTCCACCAGCTTTTGGAGCTCGATGGCTCGAAGCTCATTGGTACTAAGATCCATGCGCCATTTGCTATCAATCCGGAAGTTTATGTTCTGCCCATGGAGACCGTCCTTGCTACTAAAGGTACCGGTGTCGTCACTTCGGTTCCTTCTGACTCGCCCGACGACTACGCAACCCTCATGGATCTCCGCAAGAAAGCCGAGTACTACAAGATCGACGCGTCCTGGGCTGCGATCGACCCGATTCCGGTTATCTCAACACCCACGTATGGCGATATGACCGCCCCCTCCCTTGTCAAGAGCCTGAAGATTAATTCGCCGAAGGATGCAAAGCCCCTCGCTGAGGCTAAGGAGATCGCGTACAAGGAGGGCTTCTACAACGGTACTATGCTCGTTGGAGAGTTTAAGGGCGAGCCTGTCCAGGAGGCAAAGAACAAGGTTCGCGAGAGCATGATCGTACAGAACCTTGCCATCGCCTACGCGGAGCCCGAAGGTCTCGTCATCTCCCGCAGTGCCGATGAGTGTGTCGTCGCTCTGATGGATCAGTGGTACCTGGACTACGGCGAGTCCTCGTGGAAGGTTCAGGCCGAAAAGTGCGTCTTTGCGTGGGTTTACTGATGTCTCTAAATCGCTGACACATGTCATTCAGACTGGTTGCCAGGATGGAGACATACAATGCGGAGACTCGCAATGGATTCGAGAGCGTGCTAAACTGGCTGAATAAATGGGCCTGCGCTCGTACCTACGGCCTCGGCTCCAAGCTTCCTTGGGACCCACAGTTCCTGGTTGAGAGCTTGTCCGACTCTACGATCTATATGGCCTACTACACCGTTGCTCACTTCTTACATAGTAAGTGGCGTAGCGCAATCCAAGCCTGATTGTCTGACACTTGTCTATAGGCTCCATTGACGGAAGCAAGCCCGGTTTACTCCCTATCAAGCCTGAGCAGATGACTGATGAGATTTGGGAGTACATCTTCCGCAAAGGTCCTTGGCCAGTAGACTCCACCATTCCCAAGGAGCATATCGACACCATGAAGCGCGAGTTTGACTACTTCTACCCCTTCGATATCCGGTCGTCTGGCAAAGACTTGATAAACAACCACTTGACCTTCTGCGTATATAACCATGCTGCCTTGTTCCCCGAAGACAAGTGGCCACTGAGCATGCGCACGAACGGCCATTTAATGTTGAATGGCCAGAAGATGTCCAAGAGCAAGGGCAATACGCTTACTATGCGCCAGGGCATCGAGAAGTATGGCGCCGGCGCGATGCGTCTCTCATTGGCCGATGCTGGTGACGGTATTGAAGACGCCAACTTCGACGAAAAGACCGCGAACGCGAACATCTTGCGCCTACACACGCTCATCAGCTGGTGCGAGGAGATGACGCAGAACTTGTCGACGCTGCGTACGGGCGATCGCAACTTTCATGACAGGGTTTTCGAGCACGAGATCAACGAACTCATCAACGTTACGTCCGGTCACTACCAGGCGACAAACTACAAGGATGCCCTTAAGTACGGTTTCTACGAGCTCCAATCCGCACGCGACTGGTACCGCGAAGTGACGGCCGACACCGGCATGCACGCAGATCTTGTACAATATTGGATCAGGATATCAGCCCTCGTCGTCTGCCCAATTGCGCCACACTTCTCAGAGCATATCTGGAGCGAGGTGCTCAAGGAGCCCTCAACAGTACAAAACGCGCTTTGGCCAACGCCGTCGATCGCGCCCGACAAAACAGTGCTCGATGCAGGCGCGTACTTGCAGAGCACGGTCAAGAACCTGCGCGACGCCGAATTGACGATCCTCAAGAAGATAAACAAGGGGAAAGGCGGCCAGAAGCCATTGTACGATCCCAAGAAGGCGAAGAGCGTCCGTATTTTTGTCGCGACGAGCTTCCCCGAGTGGCAGAACACGTGCGTGCAGATCGTCAAGGAGGCGTACGATGCCGAGCGCGTTAAGGTTGACGACGTCAAGGTCCGCACGCTCCTCACTGAGCGCGGTCTCATCAAAGACAAGCGTGCGATGCCGTTCGTCCAGGCCTTCAAGGTACGTCGCACGCGCTTGACTTGTGATACACTCTCACCATCTGTTGCAGAAACGCATGGCAGAGTTCGGCGCTGAGACTGCATTCAACCGGACATTGCCGTTCTCTGAGGTCGAGGTTTTGCGCGAGGTTCTGCTTTATATCAAGAAGTCTCTGAACCTTGTCGATGCTGAGGTGTTCCTGGTCGAGGAGGCGAGGGAGAAGGGCTTCTCACCCTCTATGATTGAGGGTGCAGTGCCGGGCGCACCGGCCTTCGAGTATTATAACGTATAATTACTCCTCTAGATGGCCATAAAATAGATAAAATACTTCACTGTGTCTTAACATCTCCTACGAGCATGTGCTCACGCGGGATTGTCGAGATCCCTGCATGCGGAGGTTATGGTGAAGCGCCCTTTTCTAGACTTCCATGCTCTTCCATGTCGATAACTACTGTAGCATCAACCGTATCCATCCTTCTCCTGTACAAGACCGCACGTCTGCAGCCGGCAAGTCTACAAACGTGGATTTTGCATCAGGTAACGTACCCCTCAGAGATTATATACCATATGTTGAAACGCGCAGTGTCAGTGCGCGACCCTCTCACGCGGTGATGAGACTCGGTGAGACTCCCGCTTATGTAGCCCTATATAATGCGAGTAATATATAGGTATCCTACGTAAGACCGTGAATATAACTCGTCCTCTGTCTACAACCCCCACTCCGAACGTGCCCCTACTCATCACAGCCCACAGGTGAGTGGCTTGCCCTGCAAGTTGTGTCGTGCCCAACGCGACACCATATGGTGCGAACGACATGTAATTTGTTTTAGGCTCAGTTCGCGCGAATGGGTGGCATCTCGTCAAGTTTACTAGTGTTTTTGGGTGTGTTAGTGGGCGTGATGGCTCAGCAAGACGTCCTCCAGGCTTCCCGTGTATTAGATGTACGTCTTGTTCTGCTTTATTCCCGCACGTAGACTCTGCGAGTTAGCACCCAGACGCCGTGTTGCTATACGACGCCTGACGATGGTCCGCCTCATATCACATGTCTTCCTCCTACTAACTGCTGTCTTGCCGCGCAGAAGATTCTCGTCGCGAACGATGACGGCTGGGCAGTCGCGCAGATTCGTGCAGAGTACGACGCGTTGAAGGCTGCTGGGTATAATGTATGTTCCATTTATGTAGCAGTCATTACGTTGCGAAACTTACTGATACTGGACATGTCACAGGTAATTCTCTCTGCGCCTGCTGAGAACCAGTCTGGTCGTGGAGCGTTGCAAGTATCTGCTACGCCACGAACCGAACCCTGCGAGTTCGACTCTTGTCCAGCCAATTCGGGGCCTACAGGGTTCAATGCGAGTGATCGTGAGTCGAACATTAGACTCGAAGCCTGACATGTCGATGCTGACGCTCTACAGCTCGTTTGAACTGGATCAATGCGTTCCCGTATGTGCTATCCTAGCAGGACTCCTCGTACTCGACTGACCTCGCCCCAGTGCCGATGCAGCCCAGTTTGGCATCGAAGTCGTGGCGCCACGGTTCTTCGGTGGACCACCAGACCTCGTTGTCAGCGGTCCAAACGTCGGATCCAACATCGGATTGCAAGTGTTCTTTTCTGGCACAGTGTGAGTCTGTCTGTTGCCGCATAATTCAACATGGACACTTAGTACGAACACGACCTGCAGCGGCGCCGCAGGCAAAGCCGTACATCTCGGCGTGCCCGCTATCGCCTTCTCCAGCGTGGACGGTAGTACAGCACAGGAAGCATGGACGGTGCCCACATCGCCCACTGTGCTGAGTGCCGAGACATACGCCACGCTGACGACGAAACTGCTTGCGGTGCTGTTCAGTCAGCCTCCTGCGTCTCCACCGTTGCTGCCTGCTGGAATCGTGCTCAACGTGAACTTCCCCGCGACGTCGGACACTTGCACAGCGGATACCATGCAATGGGTCTTGACTCGAGTATTCTCCGTATTCTTCGAATCGCCGGACGTTGTGACTTGTAAAAACGGTGGTAGATTGCCGAAGGAGGGTGATGTAGTCGCTGCAGGATGTTTGGCCAGTGTTAGCGTGATTGACGCAACAACGAAATTGGATGCAAGCAGTGGCATACAGGCGGACGTACTGCAGAGACTCGATGGCCTCGGTTTTGTGTGCTTCCCTAATTAGTAGTAGATGGTTAATAAAGTCTGCATGCAGATATTAGACCTTACATGCCAAGAAAGATTCATGGACGAGGTAGATGAGATCAAGAGTGCTACAAAATGAGTCCACACCCGTATACAAATATGCGCGCAGTGTACCATCATGCCGCAAACCGCTCGAATCTCTGGCAAAGTATGCTGAGGTAATCGTTTCACTTTGCGTAATCCATCTGCACTGTGCAACACGGCGCCATCCACCACAAACCTAGTGCCAAGTGCGTACCAGCTAGCAAAGACGATGTTGGCTTGAACCTCACGGAAGTGAGAATCTGGAGCGAATACCATATACGACAATAACCCTCGAAAAGGCTTTATAGTGTGTCCTAAGATGAGATGAGATCTTATAATAACGATAATCCGAAAGGTACACTTCAAATTATTGGTATTATAAGGAGCGAACAGTTAGTCGACCAGTCGGCGCACCCTAGCATCGCAGGCCTAATGCGTATCCACTGCTCAGTCACAGAGGACACCGAGTACAGGAGGCAGTATGTATGTAGCGAAGTCGACTGGCAGCTAGCGATCGCTATAGAATGGATCACGTATTGCACAGGTTTTTGCTTGACGTACCAGCATTGCGAGCTTGGACCATGCGATCAAGTTCGGCGCGAGAAGTCCGAACGCACTCCGGATCCGTGGCTTGCTACAGAGTCGACTTCGACGTCCTCGACTCGCCTAGTCCCTTTCAAGAATCTTTGACAGCATCTTATGCTGCATGTGTATGGCCCATATGGCGACTATGGCCCTATGACGGGCTTATAAGCCACGGGGTCGACTCAGGGAAGCTCTATCAAATCCAGCCTCGCGCACAAGTAATCGCTGTCCCCTATATCCAGACGCCACGATATCTTGGAAGCTTCACAGGGCAAGTATGTACGACAATTCCCCAAAGACAGCGCAAAGCTCAAGGGTCGTCGACAGCCGCTCTAGGCAATTTGGAATTTCGCCAACGAAAATGGAGATGAATGGGCTGTTACACCTGTCCTTGGGGGCTGTTGGGAAGGCGGTACCGGTGTTTGCGGTCCTAGAAACATCTCCAACGACGATGAGTTCTATCGGGAGAAAATAGGGAGATCAGCGGTTGACATGAAGGGGCCGGAATGTGCCCGCAGAGGCCCGTGCGTGGAGGCAATACCACGTGACTTGAGCGTCTTTTACGTAAGCCGTTGACGGGAGGGGGTTTCTCACCAGCCAGCAAAAGCCGCGCCCAACAGCCGTTGCCCTCTCAGTGCGAGCCCACTGCCAGCCAAAGCCTTGTCTCTGCCAGAGTACCCGTGCTGCACTTCTCCATTTCTCGTCTCTCCACCGCTCGTCCCTTTACTCCTACCAGTTCGTATATTCGTTAAAGGTGTGTACGACCTTTCTACCCGTAATAGGGGCGTCGTCGCCGTCTCCGCCGTCGTCGACCAGTGCGCCCCACACAGTGTTGGGCGCGTGCGGGGCAGACGCGCCTAGACGCGTCGGTCAGTGGTCGTGTCGGACGCGTTCCCCACTTTGTCTCTCCCTCTGTGCGAGTCCTAAGACGTGTTGAATGCTGTGCTAACATCGTATTCGTCGTTCCAGATGCCGAAGGAAGCTACCAAGGCCACTAGGGTGAGTATATGCGCTTCCAGCTTCCTCCTCTTGTTCTCTCGGCTGTCTGTACCACTCCTGGGTACAAAAATAGTCTCGTTTGCATGCCCAAGGCTCTCTGCGGCCTCTGCGGTTGTAGTTCAACATCGATTACGACCACTTCCCCCTGGATTCGCCGATAAGCGCGGGTGGTGTTGAAGTCGAACTCTATGCATCCAGGCTCGAACTCACGGCCATCAGCTGCGTAGTCGCATGAAGTGGGGATCGCAGGGCTTGACGTGCTCTGCGTTGGTCCTCAATATCCGTGTTCCAGCTTCTTTCGTCGTTAGATCCGACTATATGCGCATCATGCTGACGCGCCCCTACTCTAGCGCAAGGCCGCCGACAAGGAGAAGGCGCCCCGCAAAACCAAGAAGGACAAGAATGCGCCAAAGAGGGCATTGTCGGCGTACATGTTCTTCAGCCAGGACTGGCGAGAGCGTGTCAAAGCAGAGAACCCTGATGCGAGCTTCGGTATGACGCTTATGGCATTGAAGTTTGCACAAGTTGACTGGCGTGCTTTACAGGCGAGCTTGGCAAGCTGCTAGGCACCAAGTGGAAGGAGCTGGACGAGGAAGAGAAGAAGGTGGGTGAAGTGGTGAAGTTTCGTTTGCCGGTACTAATCTCTTTGTATAGCCTTACATCGAACAGGCGGAGCGAGACAAGGCCCGGGCAGAGCGGGAAAAGAAAGATTACGATGTACGTTTGTTTCATGTATGCATAATCGTCTTAACTGAACTTAGGCCTCCGCAGAATAAGAAAGTGGACAGTGGCAGCGGCGATGGCGATGAAGACGACGACGAGTAATCTACTTACTCTCTCCGCGCTACCTCTAGACCGTCGTCCCCTTCGTCTCAGAGACTGTACTCTTCTTGACCGCTCCTCTGCCCCGGGATAATTCATAAGCTGTACCAGCCGCCACGTTGGACCTTTTTCTCTCTCCTTTTCTCTGTGTGTAGGTCCGTCGTCGTCTCCCCTCGTCATCTGCGCTGTCTGTCACCCCTCAAGTATTAGTACTTCCGGTGCTTCCTGGGGGCTGTCAGCTCTCTGGGAGCATGTCCTGTAATACTAGACGGCGATCACGACTCCCTAATATTTATTTTTCTCAAATTGGCGCAAGCTGCAAGCAGTGTCATGGGTTTCCAAGGTGTGCTGCGGAGGGACGTGGGTTGGTGCATCTCGGTTTCGAACCTGTGCGTTGTCGTCATGATCATGCGCAGACGCCCAAGCGCGCGCTGCGGTGCTGGTTGCTGGCTCTTGCCCTCTTCCACCTCGCTTTGTCTTCCCTCGCGCATACACCCTCCTGCCTCGTTTGCTACCATCGCCTATACGTATATAGCTCAGATTGCTGGCATTAGACTCTCGTTGAGATCCACATAATCTTAGCCCTCCCTACAATCGCGTACCAGCTCACCGCACCCCACTACGCGTAGATAGCATGGCAGACACCCCTACCGAAGTTGGCGAGGTGCGTGCTTAACTCTCAGCGGGCGACTGCGGGTACTGACGGTATCATCTGCATCATGTCTCGCTCCGAACGATGACTGTCGGTGTCCTAAGGCTGTCCCTGCTGCCCAGAAGAGTAGCTGGGCATCTTTCTTGAAGTCGTAGGTGCCCTGCGTTCACTCACAATTTGGCTTGTCATGCTCACCGTTACCTGCCCTCGTGTTCTCCCAGGATCGGATCCGTGTCTGGCGATCTCTCATCGCTCACGGCACCACCGTTCATTCTCTCGCCCATTTCACTCACCGAGTTCCCAGGTGTGCCTACTATTCTATATATGCACGTCACAGGGAATCTGACGGTCAATGAATGTGAAACAGCATACTGGTGTGAGCGCCCAGAGCTCTTCGCTGCAATTGCCGAAGCGCAGACTGACGAGGATCGATCGATTGCCGTCCTGAGATGGTTCATCGTGAGTACTATGTGTAGAGCAGCGGCAGAATGAGTGACGCCTTGTAGAGCACATTGAAGGGCCAGTACACATCGCGTAATGAGAAGCTCGGGTCAGAGAAGAAGTATGTCCAAGGTTTATTAATTGCCGAAATTGGCCCGCTGACCTCGTGTTGTGTGATGCCAGGCCTCTGAATCCTGTCCTCGGAGAGTGAGTGGACTCAGACGTTTCGCTTTGCCTCAGCAGCAGATAGATACGATTTTAGGCTTTTTTACGGCTACTGGCCTGATATCGATGGCCGCGGGAGGACGAATCTGGTCGTGGAGCAGGTCTCCCACCACCCGCCTATCACGGCGTACTATATCGACAACACAAGCAAGGGCCTTGCGCTCCAGGGCCATAGTGCGCAGAAGACGAGCTTCTCTGGTACGTGATTGCCTGAGACATTCGATTAGCTGGATTGACATCGCGGTACATATGCGTAGGCGGAAGCATCATCGTGAAACAAATTGGTCATGCCATCCTGACTGTCGACATCCCTGGTGGCGGCAAGGAGGAGTTCTTGATCACCTTGCCTCGCCTTCGCATCGACGGTCTTTGGTACGGCTCACCTTACATCGAGCTTACGGAATCTTCGTACATCCAGAGCTCCACCGGCTGGCTGTCCGCTGTAAATTTTACCTTTTTTTTCTCCGTTTATCTGTTCCCACTAACAACACATATACTGTAGATTGAATATAAGGGCAAGGGGTACTTTGGTGGCAAGTCACATCAGTACAAGGCGGTACTGACGCCGCCGGGGTCGAATAACGCCCATCGTACCTTCGAAGGCCTCTGGCACACGACGAGCAAGGACCTCAAGACGGGTGGGATATTCCATGATGTCCAGGGCCCCAAGGAGGAGGTCACAGTTGCGCTGATTGACGATATGGACGACTGGGAAAGCCGCAAGCTCTGGCGATACGTTGCGAAGGGCATCCGCGAGGGTGACTTCGAGACGGCCAGCCGGGAGAAGAGCAAGATTGAGGTAGGCTTCATGTTCTCATCCCGATTATGCTTGGGGCGTTGATATTGAGTCGGTCTAGAACGAGCAGAGGCAAAGGAGGAAAGACGAGCTTGCAGCCGGTATCACATGGCCACTCAAGCACTTTGAACACATCGAATCAGACCCTGTCTGTATGTAATCCTGTCATACCTTCATTCGTCTTCTTGTACTGAAGTTCCACATCCAGATGAACGCCTTGGCCGGCTTTTCAGGGCTAATCCGTCTATGGAAGATGCATATGTCTACAAAGGCAACGGCCCCTACGACCAGCCTGATGCACCCACGGCGTGAGGACGCATCTAAACAAGAGCTTATAGAATTGGATCTGCACTAATTGATTAATCTCATGTACTGTACTTTGATGAGAGGTGTATAACTGATCTGGTATGAGTTTTGAGTGTGTTGACCGCAGCGGTCGACATACATACTGTCGTTATGAGGTCATGGGAATGCATTATTCGATGCGTACAGACAGCTGGCAAACCGTAACGCGTAATCACTGATCGGGCGTGATCACAATCGCTGAAAGCCCCAGGATCATTGATATTTTGTGTGCAGAATTTGAACACCACTGAAAGTGTAACGTATGCGAGACGAACGCTAGTTTTCGGGGTCTAGGTAATCGGACGTCCATTTAGACGCCCATTGGCTATCTCAGCGCTTGATTAGATAGCCTCGTTCTCGGGCTCAACAGCCTCAGCATCCAGTCTGTCAGTCTCTCTAAGTCTGTACTCAACTTCTAAAGATCCAAGCTCATTAAAATAAGGGTAAAATAAAGGGCTCAGCCGGGAATTGAACCCGGGGCCTCCTGCACCTTTAGACTCCAAGTAAATCTGGGGTTCAATACCCGAAGCAGGAATCATACTACTAGACCACTGAGCCACACTGCTCATGCCGTCTCTAACATTGTCGTCGTAATGAGTACTAACTAACCGAAATTTATCTGCTAGCCATATAATCGGATAGCTCAATCGCGGTAAGTACAATGTACACCGCGACTCCACTAAGTGCAGCGTACATGCGGCATCTCTAAACATGGCTCACCGTGGTTTTGCCACTAGACTCCCGACAAGGCCTCGTCTTTAAATCAAGGTCCCGGCGAGTGCATGGAATCATTATCTGTTCGTTTCGACATGCTACAGAGAAGGCCGCTGGCAGAACGGTGCCAGCATACCATGAACACAATAATTTCATGTCATCTCGAGCTTATGCAGAAGCTAAAACGACTCCTGAGGATCTTCGCTCATGCGCGAGAGAACATCGTAGTGCCCGGGTCTATTCCATTGCCGGCTAAGCCGTGAACGCGCAGTTCTCATCTAATGACGCACCTGTAGAGAAGCGTCACTGCCTCAAGCTCTTCACCTTCACCGTTATCAAAGCTGACGAAATTAATGGGGCTTGTGTCCGGATCCGCCGTTGGGCCTTTACCGTGCTCATGCCCATCAAGGTACGCAACGCGAACGTTCACTTTGAGCGCAGTCGTCAGAGCGGTGATCTGGACGTGGTCTACGACGCATATAGGTGATCTGTGGGAGGGTCCGACTCTGTTTGCAAGACACAATTCTCACCGGCTTCCTTGCCCATGCACTCGACGAAGTGGTTACAGAAATCCGCGGGGTTCATGGGTTCATCAGCGTAGGGTTCATCGGGATTGTATAGATACGGTGCGTAGCTGAAAGGATCGACCTTGATCTGCGCGGATGTCACGTAGCGCATATATATCATGATCGAGTTCGAGACTGTAGAAGCGATCAGCCGAGTTCCTTGTATGATTGCAGAAGCTCACTAGGTGTGTCGTTAAACGCGTCCAGCAGCCCGCGCTGAGTGAGTTTCGGCACATCGGGTCGGGCATTGATGATGCGCTTGATCGTGTGTACCAGAGTTTCGTAAAAATCTTCGTACACCAATGCCTCATAGCCGACGTTCTGCAGAAGCTGTACACTGCGCCCGAGTACCGTAAGCGTGTCTTGAACGAGAGTCTCCCGGAAAGGCTCTGGAGCCTTGAGTAGGCGTTCGATGTATGCGAATGCGAAAGCTACCAGCCAGTGTCAAAAGGGCATGCACAGGTGTAACACGGGATGCGTACCGCGATAAAAACAGTCACCTGCCGTCCAAGACATTATGCATTAACAATCAGCGATTCGCTTCGAAGATGTGATTTGAGAAGAAGGCTACCGTCTCCACGCGTTCGACGTACGCCCAGATACCCTTGCTGGACCAGCCGACTGATCTGCTTCACGAATGTCTGATTACCTCGGATATACTCTTCCTGTAGGTCCGAAAGCTTGGTTAATAAACCTATCAATGGGATGTCCGGAGGCTGCTCGGCGTCCTGCATCGCAACCTGGTGAAATCCGGAAGCGAGGATGTCAGCGGATCTCAGCCTCTTGAAAGGCCGGAATTATACTTGGTTCATTTCAAACAACTCCGCCGATGGCAAAGTGGATAGTTCTGTCGAGATGGGTCAGGTAACTGGAGCAGTGGGCTTCCATATACCCGATATCTATACGTACCTGAACCTGGAGCTACGATGCTGTACCCTGGTAATCCTTAAAGACCGTTTGAACGAACTGCACATCAAGTCTCTTGATCCCATTACATGCCTACCTTCTTGTGGCGGCGCCGGTGTGGCTTTGTCATCGATGTCGGGCAAGTCTCCAGCTTTCATCTTCGCTGTGTTCAAAACTCCTGGAAGTACCTAGCCGTCAAAGATGCTGCTCGATAACTTACGAGGTGGTGGTGGTGATGGTGCAGAACTCTCCTTGTCCAGACTAGGGTAGCGTGACGTCTATGACCTTCTCTGGGAGACGTGTCTCACTCGATCAGATACAGTACGGGGCAAAACACAAGCTCCAGGGGAGATTTTGGCCGGCTGTTATTCTGCCGTGTGCTGCCTCGTAATCGTTTGTGCATGCTGCGCTATTAGTGATGATGTCTGAATACCAAACACAAGGAGGCACTATAGCCAAGTGGTTACGGCGGTTGATTCGAACTACAGTTCGTATATCACCTCCTCTTTGAGGGCGCAGGTTCGAATCCTGCTGGTGTCGGTGATTTTGTCATAGGCAATTTTTGATATTTTGCAAATTGTATCTAAAGTAAGGCTCCAACTGCTTAGTTTACATGTAAATTTTTTTGTAAACACACAGCAAACATTTATAAACAGTTTATAAACAGTAAACAAACAGTTTGCACAGGTATTTGTTTGATTGTGCCAGAATACTAATAAAACTGTGCAAGCCTATAGCTTGACACAAATACCTTCTGTGCTGGTTTGAGCCTGAAAAGAGGGGCACAAAAGCTGACACTAGAGTGGCACGACCGTGACGCATATTACAGCAATATCCTCGACAGGCCCAGCATAGCAGAGAGTTGCAGGCGCATGAAAAGTTCTGTTCAGCAGGGTAGCATTGCGAGGTAGCATAGTACCCGAGGGCAGACAGAGGTGTCTGCGGAGCCAGCTTTGTAGGAAGCATGTGAGATTGCTTCAGGAAGTTGGCGTGTCCCATCATCGCCATCAGGTAGTGGGCCAGTGACTGGTGCAAATCTCAGCTTGGTACTCTCAAGGTGGTACAATGTATACCCAAGTTAGGCTTTGAGAAGTGACCTAGAGAACTTAGTAAGCTGCTGCATGAGTGCAGACTTCGGTAGTTTGTCTTTTCCAGGGCCAATCATCACTTATCCCTTGCAGCATATATTGTCGTGATATGACGACTGGGCTGTGCAAGCGCAAACTGGCGAGGGCACATGGGCATAATTTAATACACACGATGGTTAGTCTGAGTGCGAAGGAAAAAAGCATGCTGTATAGGTAACTATCTAATACACACGGTGATTAGCTATACAGGCAGTGGTAAGCATACTGCATACTGCAAGAGTGATGAAGGGGAACTTACTCTGAGTGCGAAGAGAAAGAGCACACAGAGCGGGGATGTGAGAGGAGTCCTTATATACTAAAAGGAAGCAAATTGAAAGTCCGCTAGAAAGGGGAAGCCTGCCATAAAGAGGTCCGTGCATGGGAGCACTACATATGATTGTCCAATCACTATCTATGTATTAGTAGCGCCTAATCTAAGATGTCCACCTTAAGTCCATGCCGGGTGGAATGCCAAGCCAGAGCCACTAGGCGCTTCAACAGCATGCCACCTATGAGTAAGATTGAACTAGTCTTCCTCCCTCTTGAACAAAACCTGGGCTTGCGGCGTGCTGCACTGATAACACCACTTTCGCGGGCTGGCTTCAAGTTGTCTATAGTAGACTGGATGTGGTGGAGTAGTCAACACATACATAGTATTTCAATACCTGTGATACTTGCCTCTGGACTATGCTCAGCATGGGCATTATTGGCATGACTGCTATTGTATCTTTGGGGTGAGTCGCGACTATATGCGCGGCAGCCACAGTGCAGCTGGCGCTTGATGCAGCCGCTGTGCCTCGGGGGTCTGAAGAGGCTGCCCGAGGACAATGCACAGGTGGTGAGGCACACTCTTCAGCTCACCACAGGTCAAATATGTTAGCAAGACTGCAAATGTATAACACTAGGACCTTCTACAGTTGACAAGAAGAAACCATTTGTTTACTGTGTATAAACATTTACATTGAGTTTACAAGACTTTTTTACACACACAGAAACAGGAAATGTTTATACACAGTAAACAAACAAAATGGTTGGAGCCTTAATCTGGAGCATGTCCGGCCAATTACTGTCGGTCTCGTGACTTATACGATGGAGAATCATGATCTAATTATGCAGCCGTTTCAAACAAACATCATGTGACATGAGGTAAACACGTCTTGTTGGTCTCTACGCGGCACTATGGAGCTGAGATATACTACAATGTCAGCAAGGTTGCGGTTCAAACGAGAATCACTGTAGGCAAAATTAGAATATGCCTATGCCTCTGTCCACCCGCAATATCGGCCTGCACAATCGGTGTTACGCCCGGCGTAACCTGAGTATGGGACAAAAGGGAAGTACATGGCCATGGCACTTACGTATAGACTTTTATTGCACGAGCTGCTCCAAAACATGAGCCGCCGTAAAGCAGTAAATGATGAACACGGGTTAAAAACAGAAGATACAATGGGGCCTGATCGACGGCGATCTTTCTGAGGGGTTTTAGTCCTCGTCCAGGACTTCGCCTTCGCCTTCTCGAGCCTATACGACGACAACCTTTTAGTTTAACATTTTACCACCAATACTGGAACATACCTTCTCCATTAACCTACGTCTATTCTCTTTCGCCTTCCTCTGCACACGCACAAACTTGCCCAACGGTGTCTCCTCAGTCTTGACATTGTTTTCCCAGCGATGCACCTCATCCAGTTTTTCCGGCGCAAATGATACGCCCTTTCTGCGGTCCTCGACCCACTTCACACTCTCTTCCACACGATCCACCAGCGCTTTCACCGTTACCGCTTCCTTGCCCTTGCTCTTCCCCTTCTTGTCCTTGCCATTACCGGTGAACTTGTATGCAGCCTTGATGGCGTGGCGCAACGCAGCGAGGACCGGGACAGTGACTTCAGGGAACGCAACGCTCGCATGGACCGGAACGCTAGCCAAATACTCAGCAAGCACAGAGCACGCTTCATCAACGACGCCCTCGCCATATACGCGCGTCTTTAGGTATTGTTGTGGAGCGCGCAGCGTCGTCTCGAAGTCGAGCGGGCGCAGCGAGCCGCCTTTGTTGAACGAGCTTGTTAGCGGGGTTACGATCATCGGCAACAAAGTCGGTGCAAGTGGAATGTAGGTATGCGTATGCTGTGAAAGGTGGAGCAGGGAGCGCGAGAGTTGCAAATGGTAGGGGTAGGAGCGAGCATTAGGGATGAGTCTGATATGAGCTGAGCAAACATACACAGAGATATTTAATAGAGTACGTACTTCACAGCGCCTAACGATACCTGTACCAATGGATAAATCAATGGCCGCAATTCGCTCTCGCCACCACGTGCCGCCTCTGACTGACGGTCACACGCCCGCGCAAGAACGATTGCCCAGAAATCGACACAGTGTACATATTGCCAGTTGTACACCTGCTTATATGACTCCTTGCTCCTGGTCTTTATGCTATTGCGAAGGAGTATTGCAAGCTGACGAATGTAGCCGAACGCGCGCTGATACGCGGCTGCATGGTCAATCGTGTAGAGCTCAGAAGCCGAATTCTTCATCAGGTTAATCGACGGCAGAGAGTGTGCGCTGGTCTGTTTGCAGGCGCGAACGAGTGTGATGTAGGTATTCTGTTCACATATATGGGATGAGTAATCTCTGCGGATGTGAAAGAATGGAGACATACCTTCAGAGCCATATCCAGGAGCGACGTATCTGTCGATGAGGCAAGTTTCCGCACACATAGGAAGGCCGCAATCCGGACCTTGTCCTCTGAAGATGACCATAGGTCAAGACATGCCTAACCCGCGTAAGGATGCTTCACTAACTTTAGAGCAAGGAAGAATGTACCTTCAAGTAGACTTTGATGGCCTTGCGGCTGCTCGTCACGTATGGCACAAGCTTCGCCGTCTCAGAAAGAGCCATGACGAGGAGCTCGTTGTCCGTGAGCTGCGTCAAGAGTTGCATCACATTGTGAAAATACGACAGAATCAGCTTCTGCAGCGTTTTCCATTTGTGATTCTGCGTCGGGCTTTTGCTATGAAAATATATTATTGGTCAGAGGTTACAACGAATTAAAGAGAGGCGTACAATCTACCATCAGGGAGAGTCTTGTGTGGGCAGTGGTGGGTGAGCACAACTGGAGTGTATTTAAATGCAGTCGTGACAAGCTTGTTGTACACTGTCGAGTGGTTGATTGACCAGGCTACGACTTGGTCCTCTTCGTTCATGTGTACAGCAGACCTGAACGCGATGAGCAGCTTCCTCAGCGCACGTAATGACCGGTGCTAGAGTTGAACTCGTCATTCGATATCTCGTACAGCTTACGAATAGCCAAAACGAACCTCGAGTATTGCCTTTTGCCAGTTCTGCAAAATGTTCTTCGTGAGCTCAGGCACGCTCGCCATCTCCTCATCCTCGACTTCCTCCTCATATTCATCATCTCCGTCCTCATTAGCATCCATAGAATCCGGGTCGAACTCGAGCAACTCTTTGTCATTCTCCTGCAGATACGTGTAGAACTCGGGATCCTTCTCCGCAAGCTTGCTGAGTTCGTGTAAATGTGCGGCACCTTCGTCATCATCTACATATATGATAAGATATACAGGAGAACGAAAAGTGACACGAGGATGGCGCACCATCGAGGTCATCAACGGAAGCGAAAGACTGGTCGTCATCTATGCCTTCCGAGTCTTCGTCTTCACCTTCTGAGTCGCTGTCCTCCGCGGAGGGCATGTCCTGTGTAGTACACTTAGGCGCATAGTAACCAAACCCCGACAGCGTCATACCTCTTCTTCCTCGTCACCTTCCAAAAACCCGTCGCCGAGAACATTATCTACATTCATGCCCTTGAATCTACAAGCCATCACTCGTCAGCATTTCCGTTCTACCACTTCGCCATCATACAACCCACTTTCCGCTTGTCTCTTCAACTCCATGCTCCTGCTCTTCGTCCTCAGCGGGTACCAAGTCCTCGCGCTCCTTACCCTTCCTTCCCGCCTTGCGGCGCTCAGCCTTGCGCTTGAAATCCTGTACCTTACGGCGCTGCTGGATTGTCTTCTTGAGCTGTCCGGTGGCGGCAAACTTGCGCGTCGCTTTTGCTGCTTTCTTGCCCATCGTTTACAAAGCGAGCGCTGTACAACGAGCAAGAGAGCGGAAAGAAGGAAGATGAACTAGGCAGTCGTCCCGTACGAAGCGGGCGCGGAATTTTGGTAAAATCTCGGGGTGAGATCTCGATGCAATCACTTCCCACGCTCCGGCACGCCTTGATGCGCCAATATTTGGTGTTGTTAGGATCTCAAGCCTCCGTTTGCCTTTCTGGGGAAGCTGTACCGTGACATCTAGTCTTCGACGGAACCGTCTGTGTATGAGACCTTTCGCAGACAGTTATCGTTATTGGTCCCACACGTGAAGTGAGATTAGAAGTACGCTGGGTCTCGCGTCAAGGTCCAGGAGCAGCTTGTGAAGGAGATGTGTCCATAGACCAAACAGTAATCACAAAGCTAAAAGCGACCGCTACCAGGGCATTTGTAGCGTGAGATCGGCTATGCCTAAAGCTGCCGAGCTTGGTTCGAAAGGTTCTTATTCAGAGCGTGCGGAGAGGCAGTCCACATATGAATAGATGAAGATAATCGCACATCTCACGACATTCTTTCTGGAGCCCTTCGAGGGTGTGCGAGAAGTCTTGCATGGGAATACCTCTTCTCCCGCGAAGCTCGCCATCCGAAAGCCAAAAAAATTTGCGAGGTGAGACCTGGGAGATGCCGGGCAAAGGGGCAGACGTCAGAGGCCGGGCGGAGCCGTAGGATGTTGCAGGGACGTATTGATAAGTGGACAAAGCCGGGTTCGTGCTCCCAGCAGTTCATGCTGGCTTGTTTCGGATGTGGTCAGGATTGGCGTCCGGCAGCCGGAGATGATAGGGACATATAAATGTACAGCCCCACTCAGGCTGTGGGGTGTTATCGTGCACAATCGTGGACTGCTCGAGTGGTCAGCCAGTTGATCCTCATCGGGAAGGAGAATGGTTGACACGCACATGATTGGAGCGAAAGAACTACCATATGCCGAAGAATATCTTCCACCACGGTCTCGCAATGCCCTGTGCGCTCTTCTCGTAGCCCTCACCGAGGCGTGTGTAGTACTGTGGCATCGATGCCGGCTTCATGATCTTCTCCGAATGGGGATACTATGCGTGTTGTTAGCCCTCCCACGTCTTGTATGCTGCATGCGAACAAAGCAAGAGGCTTGCCTTGTGGGCGTACTCATTCTCAAGCAGAGCACGTGCAGCGCGAGTCGCCTGCGGTGTGAGCTGGGGGTGGTCAGCAAGGGCCTTGAGAAAAGTGCCGAGCTGGAGATGTGGCCGGAAAGGGTCCGATGGCCACTGCGACGCGATCCGGTGCAGCTGTTGCGAGAGTTTGGTGGAGGTCATGCTGGTTCGGACGTAAGACGCGTCTGTTTCCGAAAACGGCTGCGCTGCCACTGGCGCCCAAAATATGAACGGGATACGCTTTGCCGGCCGTAGGCCGTCTCGTGCGAGTGAGGATGTGAGTGCGCGACACATCCGTCAAGCTGTGGCAGGCTGTGTAGCCAAGTGAAATTGCAGGGTTCTACTTCGGCGAGGGTTGGATCTCGCCTGACGCGTGGTAGAATTCTGAAGCTTAGGTCGACATACATATGTAGCGCCAGACGGCCCCGACGTTCGCGGTTCGTCAATTTACGACTTGCGGTCCAGGCTGCCACGCTGGAAAGCGGCATATCTTCTTTGATATCCTCCGATATCAGATCCGGGTATGAAAATGCCCACAGCCACCGAGATACTGTCGTTCTGGCTCGATATCATCGCAGCAAACGAAGGCCGTGTGCGATGACCAACGAGATGAACATGGGTCAGGGAAGACTGACGGGGGCCGGCAGGACAGCCTTTTGAAGTAGTACTGAAAAAACTTAGATTGCTTCGGCAGGGATTCTCTGTTATTTGGAGCTGACATGGGGTTAAATTAACTGCCTTCGTGCACGAGCGATATTTACCTAATTGAGCCAGTAGGGCATCGCCCGCTTCCACTCGCCGACGCCCTTAGCTTGCACTTCCAGATTCATACAGTGAGATCATTATTATTTGTAACACATGGGCATAGCGAACATCTGCTCTTTGATAACAACCACGACAGGTTCAAATATTGGGTCTCCCAGACGGCATCCAAGGCACCCAATCTCTGAAATCTATTGCGGCGGCGGCGGCGCAGCAGGTGGAGGCTCCGAGTGTGAACCGCAGACGAGAAATTCCTGTTGAAGCGGTCTAACATTTTCTTGACCGCTGTGAAGTCTGGAAGAGGCATTATCGCTGCGCCTGACTGATGAATGTTGACCTTTGGCACGCGGCTTATACAAAACCGGCTGAAATTCGGGCCCTGGCTGTGGTAACGTTAGGCCCGTGTGTAAAATCGAAATAGCGGTCGCATTGTATGACTGGAATAAGCACACACAGGTGCCTGTGGGCTGTCACCATGCAGTATTATTTCAAGCCCAGCCCATTTTATGCCGCAGATTTGGCGCTTATGCCATCCGATTACATAAGCATAGCAGTCTCGCATCACGTCGACGTCTTGTCCATGGCCGATGATCGATGTCGACCGCTGCAAGGCGTGTGCGCGAAATGTGCGTGTGATCCCCCAGTTCCGCCTGTGCTGCTGCTCGACAGCGTAAGGACCAACCGGCTTAGGTATCCTCCGACCCTGCCTGCCTCCCCAATATTGTCTCCGTCCCGTGTACTCATCCTCTTCCTGCTCAGGCAAGTGTTGAACGCATTCTCTTTGCAAGTTTGTCGATCACTTCGATGCCCACAGCCTGAAATATGCTGGGCCACCCCTGCCAATTAGACGCGAGTCGAATATTGGCCTCCGGTGATGGATCAAGCCTGAATGGGTAAAGTGCATGATGCGAGAATCAGCGTGCAAGGCACTGCCGCTGTAGACGCCTTTGGCGGTGTTCACGATGCCGCCAGGCGAGGGACCTTGATCACGAAGACATTGACAACCCGCCGCCCCTGGCCACACCGACAGACCTAGGCGGGTTCTTCGCAGCTTGCCCTTACACCACCACGTCCTCCTAGTCTGCCAACTCCATCATGGGCTGTTGTGGAGAACCTGTCGAGAAGTCGATGCCTGAGGAGGGTAACAGAGTCAATCCGTTCACGACAGGCAGCCCCGTTAGCCAGCAGCCCAGTCCGCAGAGCGCCCTTCAATGGCAGGAGAAGGCTCTAAATCTACCCACTCTTGCGACGCCCCAGCCCGTGCTGCACTATGACCAACCTGCCGCGGTGCAGCAGATATTTGGACAGCCAAACCAGTTTGGTCCGCACGGCTCAATTAGCCTCAACGATTCGACGTTTCAATCGAGCTTTGCTCCGACTACGCCATCGCCACCCCCTCAGGGTGCCTTCTCTCATATCCAGATACCTTCGCTCGCCCATCCAGCTGCAGTCTACGCGGTGGGTAACGGAATGACAGTCAGTGGGAGAAGGACGGCTTCCTCTCCGGCACAGCAAGCCTTCTCGCCTCCGCCAGCCGATGAAGGCAAACTATCCATTGCTATCGACTTCGGTGCGTGTTCTTACTTACTGTCCTAGGAAGTTGCTGAAGCTGTTGTGCAGGTACGACATTCTCGGGCGTGGTGGGTACTATGCAAGTCGTCTGTGTCAACTGTGGCTGACGCCCATGATCATAGGCATATGGGTCATCACGTATCGCAAACGGCAAGATCCAGCAGATTCTGAACTGGCCAGGCTCCTTTGAGACATTCAGAAAGATACCCACATGCCTCTTGTATGACGAGCGTGGACAAGTCGCCGCGTGGGGACTTCAAGCCAAGACAGCTAGTCCTCAGCCTGGTGCAACAAAGTGTGAATGGTAAGTTCATTCCCGTATCTGAATGCCCACATGGATTTCAATCTTATTAGGTTCAAGCTGTTCCTGGAACCGCACGCGTTGCGTGATGAGCATGCTGTGGACCCGCGGCTTCCATCCCTTCCTGTAAGACTTATACCTTCATTCCGTCGTCCGGATGCACTCATGCCTCAACGTAACAGCTTGGGAAACAAGCTTTGGACCTCATTGTTGATTTCCTCCGTTGCCTTTGGGAATATGCCAAACAGCAGATCACGCGCGAGATCGGTGCTGTCGCAGACCTCGGTAAGCCGCTGCTAACCCATTATCTTTGGGATACTGCTGACTTGTGTTCAGACTCGGCGGACGTTTGGCTTACGGTTCCAGCGGCATGGGATGCGCGTGGCTGTCAGATAATGCGCGACGCGGCTATCGCTGCAGGGCTCGTGTACTCTTCTCGTGCCGGCGACACAACCTGGCGAGACCGCCTTAGGATTATTACGTGAGTTTTTAGTCTCAGCCCATTTGATATAGCCGTGCGCTGACGGCAACCAGCGAGCCCGAGGCTGCCGCGGTGCACTGCGCTAGCCTTACGGACTTGCATAAGCTGCGGCCAAGCCAGAATTTCATGATCTGTGACGCCGGTGGCGGTACCGTCGTACGTATCGTCCTAGCCTCTTATGGCCCACTAAACAGACACGGATTTGTGCCACTGACATCGCGGTTATGATTTTGCATGCCGTAGGATCTTGCCATCTATAAGGTCATTGGTTTACTTTCAAGCCTGGAGATCGCGGAAATGTGCGCGCGCTCAGGTGCTAACTGCGGTTCGCTGTTCCTCGACTTCCGATTCCGCGAGCTTGTGCGGACGCTCTTGGCGGATCATCCCGCCCATTTGAATGGTGCGTTTCCTAGTAGTTTTCGACGGTAGTTTGATTCAAGCTTCAAGGCTTCCATAGCGGCGTCTCTTGCATATTTCATGCATACCTTCTCGGAGACGACAAAGATGGCGTACAACGGGGAAGCAGATGATGGTAAATATACATTAGCTGCCTCAGGGCTGGTAATGACTATTCTCTTTTCGGGTTATTCTGCGGACAGACAAGATGTTCTACTTCACGTGCTTCAATCCCGAGGATCCACATGACCCATCCGTGGGCCTGATACATGGTGACCTTGTTATTCCAGGCGTTCTGCTCCGGCGGGAAGTCTTCGACCCCGTCGTGCATCAGGTGCGTACTTACCCACTGTTTCGCCTTATAATGTGCGCTCATGGTCTTACTATTCCACTCTACTATGAATTCAATCCGACTTACGCAATCGCGACCGCTCTGGTGCTTTTGTCACCATATGATCATGATGCTCTCCATCCTATCATGATCTCACACACCCAATACATTCTATCCCCGGACGTACGCTGACGCGGAATGAATTGCACCTGTGCTATTCCTGTGTTGGACCACCCTGCATCTCGGCGGGCCAATCTCATCCCAATGCTACCGTATCTGGGCTATTGGATCTTAACGGACGAATCTCGATTTTATGATCGGAATGTCGACTTGGGTGTGTCCTAGGTCCTGGGCTTGATTGAGGAGCAAACAAAGAAGGTCGACCAGCCGCTTCACGCATTACTTCTCGTTGGTGGATTTAGTGGTATGTCGTGTCTCTTTCATCCGTCTGGTACGCCCCCTTGTTCAAGGTTTCTCTGATCCCTTTTGCCTCGTTTTCTACTGCCGTAACCTCCGGACCTAATCTTCTCTCGTGATCAGGCAGCCAATACCTGTTCGCAAAGGTCAAGGTACGTGTCATACTAGACGTTCCCAATTGTCACCGGTTGTGACTGTTGGACTGGTTGGCAGGAACGGTTCGCAGCGCCGATTAGTGTGATCGAGCGGCCCTCAGACTGTGACACAGCGACGTTGCGCGGCGCCGCACAATATGGGTTAGCACGTCGTCCGCTTGTTTCCAGCGTGATTGCGCCACATTCCTACATGATGAAGGTACGTACGTACCCGGGGCTGCATGGTATATCTCCGTTATCCTTCTGTCACCGTCTCCCTATGGTTTGTGCCGCTCGCTCCTGCTACTTACCCCATTCTCTGGCTTTCCTAGCGCCTGATTCTCTGCCGCTTGTCTCGTAAGCTGACGCGCCGTCGCCGTTACCGCAGGTGAAGCTGCCGGCCGAACCAGAAGACCACCTAAAAAGGCCTGCATATATCCGCACGAATGACGCCGGGGTGTCCATCTGTGAAAATCGGTACGAGAACAGCCTAGTCTTATCCTTAGCTCGCTACATGTCACTCTGTATCACAGGCTGCAATTCCTCGTTGCAAAGGGTGCAATTCTCAGGAAAGGGTAAGCGCTCTTGTCCCGTCTAATGGGCTGCGGTTTTGATGCCCGGTCAGGCAGCGCGTGAAGCACAAATTTTGGTAGGTTCTTCCGTACCGAGCATAGCCGCAGAGGCGTCTTGAACGCTCGCTGACGTATCTCCGCTGTCACAGCAAATTTTCGCAGAATGTACCAGGTGAGTGCTGTGTGCTTTCGATCGCAGTTGTGCCACGAAGCCGTAATTCCGATCGAGATCTAACATGACTCTTTGTGCCCTGGCTGGTAATGTGCCGCGTCTTCGACAGACCGCATGTTCGTTGCCACGCTGTACACCGCGGATAGCGATAAGATCATGCGCTATACGGATGAGGTGCGTGCCTCGGGCGGCACGATGAGCTCGGAGTACTAAGTGGTTCTTTCCTTGTTACATCATCTAGGGCGAGACGGAGAAGCTGTGTGACTGGACCGTCGACCTAAGCGTGCTGCCGAGCTTTCAGCAGAACGCCCAGCAGCCGCACGCTAACGGATTTTATACCGGTACGCCCGAGGCTCTCTCTTTTCATTACGCTCAAGCTCTGACATGCAGTAGAGTTCGAGCTCGGCCTAGAGCTGGACAGCGCCGAGGTGCGCGGGATACTTATCCAGAATGGCCAAGATTGGGGTCACGTCGTATTCGATTTCCGGGCTTGAGCGTGCCTGGTACGGACCGTAGCCGTTCTCTTTCATTCTGCTTTTAGGTGGGAAAGAAGCCTCTTTTTGGTTGCCGCTATGCAGTCTTTCTTGTTCTCCACGTTCTCGACAGCCGTCTTTCCGACAATGATCTTCTCAACATGTCCGCTCCATCTCATCTCTCATCGGCTTGTGTGCGATCGTACGATATACCACCACATTCCGGGCATTCCGGCGAGCGGCCGTCGGTTGCATGGGACAGAGGGTCACTGCACCCGGCACGGCAAGTGCAATTTGCAAGGTTGTGAATGCCGTCTGTGTGACGGCCGCAGGTCGCAGCACTCTAGATTGACAGCCTCCACTGGTTCCATTGAATAGCACAAACGGAGGCGAGGGCCGGCGCCGTTGGCTCAGCTCGGCACGGAGCGATGGATGTCAGCGCACGCCACGGCCGCTTAGTTAGCACGACTTCCTAGGAGACCTCTTAGCGTTGTACAGCATTCTCGGAACGACGCAGTCGTCGGAATTGCGCGCCTGGGCGCGCCGGGGACGCCGCGCCAGATTGGTTATCGATAGACGTCGGACGGCGAGCGGTGTCTTGCGTGCTGGTGCACCACATGGGTGGCCGGATGATGCTTTATGGTGCTATGGTTACCTATGAATCATCTTCTGCTGCTGGGAGTCGAGTCAGAAGGGATAAACCATCAAGAGAAACACTGGCGCGGCAAGCCCGAGAAAGGGATACGTCGGGCGTTCGCACGTTTCCGAGCGTTCAGGATAATAGATGGAATTTCGTAGCCTCGGACTCTGTGTACGCCGGGGGAGGCCATGTGTGGCGGCCGACTGGTGTGGTTTAGAGCGCTGTGGCGGAGATCGCCTTGCGGTCTCCCTGCGATGCTTCCGTCCAGTCGGGTGTTCCCGAGCAGAGGCTTGCCAGGCAGTGTCGCTGGCTGAGCAATCGATCGAATTTTCGCATCGCGCCGCGGCTGCTGCAACCGGGGCTCTCGCGCTGCATCAGACACCCGCAAAAACGCTATAAAACGATGCACCAAGAGGGGCGCGCGGTGCGCAACCTGCCCTCACCACCACCACCTCTTCCGCCTCCTCGTCGCGAGAGCCATGGCGGCACCTACCCTGAAGACCCTGACCACGCCTGAGCTCTACCGCCTTCTCGAACCCATCACGCTACCCGCCTCTTCGCCGAAAGCCAAATTCATCAACTGGGGCCTCAGCTACGAGTGCACTCCGCTCGCCGTCTTCGAGCCAGAGACCCCGGAGCAGTGTGCGGCGGCGCTCGAGCTCGCACGGCGCGAGGGCCACACCCTCCGCGCAGCAGGCGTAGGGCATAGTCCGAGCGATCTCGCATGCACGTCGGGCTTCATGCTAAGAACGGAACGGCTCGCCCGCATCACCGAGGTGTGTTTTTAAGCGCGCGCTGGCAATCTCCGCCCAGTGTGATCGCAGCCCCTGGGATCTCAGGCACTGACACCCTCTCCCTCCACACCCCGCAGATCAACACGGAGAAACAGTATGTCGTCGCGCAGGCCGGTGTGACCCTCAGTGCGCTGCATGCCGAGCTCGCAAAGCATGGCCTCGCCATGATCAACCTCGGCAGCATCTCCGACCAGACCCTCGCCGGCGTCGTCACCACCGCGACCCACGGCACCGGCATCCACTTCAAGGTCATCTCGACACACGTCCTCGCCCTCACCCTCCTCCTCGCCGACGGCAGCATCGTCCGCTGCTCCCGCGCAGAGCGCCCCGAGCTCTTCACCGCGTCGCTCTGCGGGCTCGGGGCAACGGGGCTTATGCTCGATGTCACGCTCGAAGTCGGGCCCGCGTTCCGCCTCAAAGAGACCCAGGAGAGCGTCCCGTTCGGTAACGTCGTCCAGAACATCAACATGATTGCGAACAGCGCAGAGCACGTCCGGCTATGGTGGTTCCCGCAGGCGGATATCGTGCGCGTCAGCTCTGCAAATAGGACCGATGAGGTGCGTGTGCTTTCCCTCTAGGTAAGAGCCGGTCTGACGCGTCGCAGCCGCGGAATCCCGGGGGCAGCTTCTTGTGGCATTCGCTTGTCGGGTACCACCTCATCCAGTTCCTGTTCTTTATTGGTATCTATCTTCCGTTCGTGAATCCCTGGATTTGCTGCCTTAGCGCGTGGCTTGATCGCGAGACCACGGTCACGGTCGATGACAGCTGGAAAGTGTTCAATCTCGACTGTAAGGTGTGTCTCGCACGCATGTGCTTAACTCTGTGTTCCCACCCCTGCTTCCTCTGCTTCCCACTCCCACGCACCGCGAAGGCTGACGTCGTTCCTTTCTTAGTACCCCCAGTTCACGACCGAATGGGCGATTCCATATGAGAATACGCAGGCGTGTCTTCGCGAGCTGCACGACTGGCTTAAACAAGAAGATCACGACCCACATGGCTTGCGCCCGCATTTCCCCTTGGAGATACGTTTCTCCGACGCGGATGACATCTGGCTGAGCCCGAGCCATGGTCAGCGCACAACTTGGATTGGGATTATACAGTACAAGTATGTGCATTTCTTATCCTGGCTGTTGTCTTAGTCTTGGCTAACCCTTCCCTTGCAGACCATACGGCCTCAACGTTCCTTACCGCGCCCTCTTTGCGCGCTTCGAAGCTATCCTCATTCGCCACAGCGGTCGTCCACATTGGGCAAAGTCACACCCCCTTCGTGCTTCAGAGCTCCGTGCCCTGTATCCCCGGTTCGACGACTTTGTGCGCGTGCTTCAGGAGGTAGACTCGGAAGGCGTGTGGCGGAATGAATACGTCGAGCGGCATCTGTTCGACAAAGAGATCGACGGGAGAGCGTTCAAGAGGCGGAAGTGAACGACGATGACGATGCACCGTGGAAAGCACGCGGAGGGAGACAGAAAGGGAACAAATATCCAAAAGCTAATAGACCTGAACGGTTGATCTTGCACGGGCTGCATCGATTTTTATCGCGTATTATTTGTACTACTTTAATGTTCTTCATAGTGACCCATACACTTTGTTGTAATGGCTATATAGCTCGTATCTTCAACCACATGCGCCGGAAGTAAGCTTGCTAGATTTGCACACGCTAGTGCCGCGGCTCACCTGTTGGCTTTGCGGAACCATGTGTCCTTGCGAGCGGGAAGCTCTCGAAGTATAAGCATTTTGTGTAACTTTCCCCTCCGCTCCTGTGCTCTATCACAAGAATGCAGCAACCCCGAGTTGCAAGCATGCGAGTACCAGCCACGAAGACACTAGCCAAGACTGCCGCCACGAATACAGCTGCAGAAAAAACACTAATTGCGCAGCTGCCTGTCCCCTCACACCACAACACCGCCGTCGGGATCGGGCCGTCGTTCGGCGCAAGCCCACGTGGTTTATGGAGCGCTCGTGAATTATGGGCGCTTGTATGTGCAGTCAGATTTACCGCGGCGCCGCTTGACTAGTCTTTGACCTTTCATCTATGGACCCTGAGGACGAGGCGGGCTGGGAGTTACATGTTCCAAAATGGAGAGGGCTGGGCCTAACGGATCCTATCAAGGCGGTCGAGGTGAGTTCTCTGCATAGCTTGCAAAGTCATGATTCGAAACGCTTTAGGATAAATGGCTGCTGCTGCCTGCCTTCCTCAAAGTCAAAGGATTGGTGAAGCAGCACATTGACTCGTTCAACTATTTCGTCGACGTGGATATCAAAAGCATACTTCGCGCAAACAGCAAGGTGACCTCCGACGTCGATCCTCGCTTCTGGCTGAAGTACACCGACATCCACGTAGGCTTCCCCGACCGTACCGACCCCGACGCTGTTGACAAAAGTGTTACCCCTCACGAGTGTCGTTTGCGGGACACCACATACTCCGCTCCTATCCTCGCTACTATCCAGTACACCCGTGGCAAGAACGTTGTGCGCAGGCCTAACGTGAACATTGGTCGTCTACCCATTATGCTCCGGAGTAACAAGTGTGTGCTCAGCGGGCGGACGGAGATCCAGCTTGCGCGCATGAGTGAATGCCCTCTCGACCCTGGAGGGTACTTCGTGGTGAAGGGCACGGAGAAGGTCATCCTGGTCCAGGAGCAGTTGAGCAAGAATCGTATCATTGTCGAAGTCGACCCTGTCAAGGGCGTCGTGCAAGCGTCCTGCACATCTTCGACACACGGAGGTCTCAAGTCCAAGACGTACGTTGCGACTAAGAAGGGCAAGATCTACCTCCGCCATAACTCGATACATGAGGATGTGCCCATTGTGATCGCTTTGAAGGCTCTCGGCTTCCAATCCGACAAGGAAATATTGCTCCTTACTGCGGGGAACAACGAAGCCTACAAGAGTGCCTTTAGTCCTAACCTGGAGGAGGCCGCCAAGTCAGGCGTGTTCACGAAGCACCAGGCTCTTGAATACATCGGTAGCCGCGTCAAGGTGAACCGCAAAGTCATCGGACCGCGACGGCCAGCTTGGGAAGAGGCTCTTGAGGTCCTTGCTACTATCGTTCTTGCGCACGTACCTGTCGTTAACATGGACTTCCGCGGAAAGGCTATCTTCGTAGCTACGATGACGCGGAGGGTACTCATGGCAATGGATGACGAGAAGATGGTGGACGATCGAGACTATGTGGGCAACAAGCGGCTCGAGCTGTATGTCCTCTTGTATTTCTCCCCTGCGCGTGACTAACTAATTGACTCACAGTGCCGGACAGCTGCTGGCTCTACTTTTTGAGGACCTATTCAAGACTTTTAACACTAATCTTAAGTCGGCTATCGACAAGGTCTTGAAGAAACCGTCGCGGACATCGGAGTTCGACGCGTTCAACACGATGCAGTTCATGGGCGACCACATCACGGCTGGCTTTGTGCGTGCGATCAGCACAGGCAATTGGTCGCTGAAACGCTTCAAGATGGAGCGAGCGGGTGTTACGCACGTCCTCAGTCGGCTCTCGTTCATCAGCGCACTTGGTATGATGACGCGCATCAGCTCCCAGTTCGAAAAGACGAGGAAGGTGAGTGGGCCACGAGCGCTGCAGCCGAGTCAATGGGGAATGCTCTGCCCCAGTGATACACCTGAAGGCGAGGCATGCGGTCTCGTTAAAAACCTCGCCTTGATGACACATATCACCACGGACGTTGACGAGGAGCCAATCGTCCGATTGGCGTATATGCTCGGCGTAGAGGGTGAGTTCGTTCCTCCAGGTGCGCGCCATACGAGCTCTGACGACGACACCAGACATCAGCACTGCGACTGGCACCGAAATTTACGGTCCACACACGTATGTCGTCAACGTCAACGGTTCCATTATCGGCCTCACTCGCTACCCTGGCCGTTTTGTGCACAATTTCCGAAAGCTTCGTCGTGCTGGTCGCCTAAGCGAATTCGTGAGCGTGTACATCAACCACCACCATCGTACGGTCCTCATTGCGAGCGACGGAGGCCGCATCTGTCGACCGATGATCATCGCCGACAGAGGCCGTCCTCGCGTTACGACGGAGCATATTCTCGTGCGTCTCTCTTCGGACCCTCTCCGGATGACGCTGAAATGAGCGCTATGGTAGTTGCTAAAGGAGGGCAAGATGACGTTTGACGACTTCTTGAAGCAAGGTCTCGTTGAGTACCTCGACGTCAATGAGGAGAATGATTCGTACATTGCTTTGTACGAGAGCGACATTGTCCCCACAACGACTCATCTGGAGATAGAGCCGTTCACTATTCTTGGCGCCGTTGCCGGTCTTATTCCGTATCCACACCATAACCAGTCGCCTCGGAACACCTACCAATGTGCCATGGGTAAACAGGCGATCGGCGCGATAGGGTACAACCAGCAGAGCCGTATCGATACGTTGCTCTATCTGTCAGTTTACCCGCAACAGCCGATGGTGAAAACTAAGACCATCGAACTTATCGGGTACGATCGCTTGCCCGCTGGCCAGAATGCCACAGTAGCCGTGATGAGCTACTCGGGATATGATATCGAAGATGCGCTCATCCAGAACAAGGTATGTCTCCGCAAGATAGTATTGTATACTCGTTGATATTGACTGGACACCTCTTAAACCATCAGGCTAGTCTGGACCGAGGATACGGACGTGTACAGGTTTTGCGCAAGAACGCGACGCTGATCCGCAAGTACCCCAACGGAACGTAAGCTTCTCCACTTCGTCAAATGATGGACAACCTCTCGATAACACGTCTTCACAGATATGATCGCTTGGCGGATGCTCCGGTGGATGAGGGCAGTCAAATCCAGAAGAAATACGACATCATCCAGGCAGATGGACTCGCAGGCGTCGGCGAGCGTGTTGATCCTGGTGATGTGTACATTAACAAGCAAACACCGACGAATGCAAACGACAACACCTTCACAGGCCAGGCGGCAACAGTACCCTACAAGAACTCACCCATGACGTACAAATCCCCCGTCGCAGGCTATATTGACAAAGTCATGGTCACAGACACAGAGAATGACCAGACGCTGATCAAGGTCCTTATCCGTCAGACGCGGCGCCCCGAGCTCGGGGACAAATTCTCGTCGCGTCACGGACAGAAAGGTGTTTGCGGGCTGATTGTCAATCAAGAAGACATGCCATTTAACGACCAGGGCATCGTGCCCGGTATGTCCAGTCTTCCCTGATACTAGAATCTAGGTGGTGATTATGTGCCAGATACTATTATGAACCCGCATGGTTTTCCTTCTCGGATGACGGTGGGCAAGATGATTGAGCTACTCGCAGGCAAGGTGATGTATTTACTTTTTTTTCATTATGCCACTCCCGCTCATATCTGTGCAGGCCGGCGTTCTCGCGGGCAAGCTCCAGTATGGCACAGCGTTTGGAGGCTCCAAGGTGCATTCGCTCTCAAATCCGCATGAGGCATAAGCTGACGAGTGCACCCAGGTCGAAGACATGTCCCGAATCCTGGTCGAGAATGGTTTCAGTTATGCAGGGAAGGACATGCTCACCAGCGGCATCACTGGTGAGCCCATGGAGGCCTACGTATATTTTGGCCCTATCTATTATCAAGTGAGTCTCTCAGTTCATGCGTATCACGATGAAGGCAATGCTGATCTGATCTCTTCTCAGCGATTAAGTGAGTGCCATTCTCAGGGAGGTCTTCCATTTTTGCTGACGTTTCGCAGAGCACATGGTCGTGGACAAGATGCATGCCCGCGCAAGGTTTGACGGTTCTCCATTCGAGGCATTTCAACCCTTGAAAGTTCACCTACAGAGGTCCACGTGCTACGCTGACCCGACAACCTACCGAGGGACGGTCTCGCGAGGGCGGTCTGCGTCTCGGAGAGATGGAGCGCGACTGTCTGATCGGCTACGGCGCAACGCAGCTCCTTCTCGAACGCTTGATGATTTCGTCGGACAAGTTCGAGGTCAATGCGTGCGAAGAGTGCGGGCTCATGGGTTACAACGGATGGTGCACGTACTGCAAGAGCTCAAAGAAAATGGCCCAGCTCACCATCCCATATGCCGCAAAGCTTTTGTTCCAGGAGGTGCGCCGCTCCTTACAAATATGCGAGCCACTCTGATGTACCTGTAGCTTATGGCTATGAATGTCGTTCCGCGGCTGGTGCTTGACGACGCATGACCCGACCCCACAAAGTTCTGGACGAACCGTCAGCTGATCTTATTCGCCGTCTGATATCGACCTTTGCATTTGTATCATTATATACTCCCCATTCAACTGACAGGCGCGGTTCGCCGTTCCATAGGAACAGCCAGCTCAGCGTCGGCGTCCATCTCATTTTCGTCCCACAATATAGACGACAATCACCACGAACTGCCTAGTGCTTCCTTGGCTCTACACTCAATCTGATCCTGCGCGCGGCGCGCATCTATTCATCACTTTGCTAAATCTTCGCGTCCAACGTTGATAGGCGTTCTCGGGGCGAAGATTGTATTCCACGGCTGCGCGGAGACAGGTACATATGCTTCGGGGTGTATGTCGGAGGGCGTGGCTCAGTACTTGTACAGATATCTTGTAATGGTGTTAATGTATTTGCTCCTGCCGCCGCCCTGAATTGAACCCGATCGGGCGTCCGGTCCGGCTAGCGCTGCGCGCCAGCAACCACTCAACTTTAACCATAACCACGTCCACTCACCTAGCCCTCTACCTGAAAATACAGCCATGGCATCCCGCGGTGGTAGCAGCACCGCGTTGCGGCGGCTCATGACAGAGTACAAGCAGCTCTGTTCACAAGGTCACCGTTTGCCTAGGCCGTATACGCCGCCAGCTCACGATGACGTCTCGCACAGGCTCTCCAGATAACATGTTTGAGGCAGGTCTGTCCCTCGTTCTCTATTGACTTGCGTGCCAGAATGTTGATATAGATGCTGTTTAGGGCCGGTATCAGAGGACGACTTCTTTACATGGGAGGCCCTCATCATGGGTCCGAAAGACACACCCTTTGAGGGAGGTGTATTTGCGGCAAAGCTTACTTTTGTGTGTTCTCACTTTCTTCTGTCAGAGTCTTGTGTATACTGACTTGCGTTCGATCGACAGCCTGTCGATTATCCACTCTCGCCATTCAAGATGAAGTTCGAACCTCCTCTCTTCCATCCCAACAGTAAGTCATGATTCTGCTGGCCTCTCGCCTTGTACTCATGCAACACAACTATGTGCGTGCAGTATACTCTGATGGAACAGTGTGCATCTCGATTTTGCACACGCCCGGTGACGATCCAACTATGTACGAGCAAGCGAGCGAGCGATGGAGCCCTGTTCAGAGTGTTGAGAAGGTTATCCTTAGTGTCATATCAATGCTTGCCGGTACGCCTTCCCTTGACATATACTTTGTTCTTGAAGTTGGTACTAAGTAGCCATCGATGACAGAGCCAAACCTCGAGAGTGGCGCGAATATTGACTGCTGCAAACTATATCGAGAGAATCGGGTGGTAGGTGGAGGTTTGAGCATATCCACAACTCAAATATTTACCGCTCTACAGGAATATGAGCGGATTGTTCGTGAATCCATTAAGGAGCAGCTTGGCCTGTGACATGTGCACGATGATGTGCATGTTTCAACACATAGAAGTTGCAGTACTGTGGTGAAGTGTATGCTACCAACTATCACATGACATGATGGATAAAGGTGGACAAAATCTCAAACTGGTGGTCTTGTTATATTTCAGCACTCTTGAGCCTACTGTAGTTTTATGACTGTAGTGGATGTTGCACGTCACAGAGCTCTCATCCTGTCTGTTATTTTGCCTCTTTCATATGTCACAGAGAGATCCATCCAGTTGTGACACTCAAGATTTGTCACAAAGAAAAAGTCACATTTTTCAGGCCTGCAGCACTCTGTAGTAATTTGTGGTTGTCAGCTATCGCCGGGCTGATTTTCCTAACAGACATTTAGAATTTAAATCTAGAACTGGGAAAATCCACTTTTGTACTCACTTCAATAGAAAAGAGCCTCAACAGGAAAATGACCTCTAAATATGATGGGCTTTACTAAGTTATACAACAAAGGCAAAGAGGTTCCTATCTCTTAGCTGAACTGGATGGGACCTCTTGTAAGCAGGCTATTGCAGCCTTTCATATAGTTCCTTACATTTCTAGGAGTACTGTACTTTTACGACCATACCAGGTGAAAGTGCCCAAAATGAGTTTTTCTGGCAACTCACCAAAATTGCCATAAATCGAGAGAATATTATTGGCGGTGTCCACAGAAAAGCATTGTGATGTGTGACATCTGGTATGGTCATAAAAGTACAGTAATGTGCAGCTGAAAAAAATTGGAATCATAAAAGATAGTACTATGCGGCAATACAGGAACAAGCGCACACACCTTGGCCTCGGACCACCACCATCTCCCGTTAGACGCCCGCACCATCTGGCCGCTCTCCAACTCCTCTGCGCGCACCGCCCCATCTCCCTCTCCCAAAATCGCCTCCACCGAGGTCCCAAGACTTTGCGGCTCGCTACGCGGCCCGGGTCTTGCAGATACCGACACTGCAAGACCACCTCGAGCTGGAGGGGCCAACGCAGCATCCCATGCTGTGCCCTCCAGACACCCCCGCCCTGTGCCATTGCGCACGGGGCACCTGCGTGCGGATTCCTGCCTGTCGTTCTGCGCGAGTGGGTTGACAGGTACTTGGTTCCCCCTCTCGACGTCAAGTGGGCGGGTATTTGTGTGGCCGCCCAGCGCGGCCACTGAGGATCGGGAGCTGCCACTCCGCACACATGGCAAGGGGCACGCTTTCGGTGTGGGCCTTTGTCAGGTTCGTTGGGGGCCCCATTTAGGCTGTACCTTTTTGTGCAATACACCCTTTGTAACTCTCTTTGTCGCATGTGGACCTCTGGCCGCCTGTGTGACAGATGGTATAAAGCTGACCACGTCGCGACACCAGGGTCCCCTCCAGTACCACCAGCACCTCCTACTGGACTTTGACTCTGCCTACATGTCATTCCATCCCACGCCCGATGCTGCTCTCTTCCAGAGGCTGGACGAGTTCCTCGGCCAGCTCCAAGATATTTCGACCGGCCTGGCGGCGGTCGGCGATCCGCTGCGGCGTTTCGTAGCCTCCACGGCCACTGACCCCATGTCTGCCACCTCTGACTTCTTACGCGCCCTGGGCTCCCTCTTTGCCGCATGGGCCTCTCTCGTTGAGGGCAACAACAGCCAGATGGCCGCCCTCCTCCCCCCCCTTTGTCCAAGTCCTCCAAGGGCAGTGTGCGGATGCTGTGAGGCGCATACGCAAGCTTGAGGACCGCCTGGCATCTGCGCACGTCGTGAAGCCCTCGGACGACCCTGCTCTCATGGAACGCCTGAGTGGCCTGGCCGCGAAGGTGTCTTCTCTCAGCGATAGGTATCAGAGAGCGGCCGACAGTTCAACATCGCCTCCCATGGGCCTGCATAGCTCGATTCACGCCCCTGCTCAGCTCGCTCCATTGCAGGGCCGCGGGAAGAAGCGGCCTGCAATCTTCCTGGCTGAACCGGCCCCCAACCAAGAGCCTCCAGTGAAGCGGCAGGCTCTCAACCCGTATGCCATCCCGCGCGATTGGGAGTGGGGCAGGATCACTGCAATTAGCCCTCTAATGGATGCGTGCCATGGTCGCATGCCGCTAGAGTCAGCCCTGGCTCTTACCAAGGCCTTCGAGTTCCGCCCTCGGCGAGATGGCACTGCTCAAGGGTCGCCTGCTCCGGGCATCTATGCGGCGGTTGCAGGTGTCCCACCACACTCGACGCCACTGCCTGTGGCCCTGACTTCTACCTCGTCTGCGCCCGCTAAGGCTGCACCGGCCCCGCCCAAATCCAAGCCGAAGGCCCCGGTTGTTCACGTCGCGGCTCCTCGGAAACCTACAAAAATCCTGCGCGTAGTCTTCTTCACAGCCGTTACAAACCTGGCTCACCGGTGTGACGAAGCTGACGTCCGCGCATGGGTGCGTGAAAGGCTCCAGCGTATTGGCGAGGAGCCTAACAAAGTCGTGGGGCTCCACTGGCACGAAGGTGGCGTCCATGCAGACATCCGGTTCCAGGCACGCCCGACGGTGGCTACACGTGACTCTGTGAATGATGGCGCGGACTGGCTCGCCAACGCTATGGGGACAGCGCGCTCGGCCACTGTCGACTTCTATACACCTGTTACACGCATCGCGGTGAAGGCCCTCCGCACCCACCGTCCAGGTACCGACCTTGAACTAGCGTCGGAGGACATAATCTCTGCCATTGCGCAAGAGAATGCCTGGGTCGCTGGGCAGCTGCTGCAGCACAACCAGTCACCCCGACCCTTCTGGATGGACGCGACGGGCGGTTCTGGCACATTCGTCTTTGCTGCCTACGACAATCGTGACGGCACAGTCAGCGAGGGCTGGTGCAAGAAGTGCCTCCGAGTCTTCGGCGTCGAGCACAGCATCCAGTGCCATGACACCACACCGCGGGTCCCACTCTGCGACCGGTGCTGGCACTGAGAGCACACCGGGGGGTCCTGCAGGGCCGCAAAGCTTTTCTGCTCGAGGTGCTCACTGCCTCATGTCGATGTTGATCACACGAGGTTCTGTGTTCACCCGGACTGCCAGCAGGCATGCCTCGACACTGGTGGTGCGCACCTCTTGCTCTCACGTGTACTGTGCCAGCTGTGATAGCGTCGACCATGCCCCGTCGTCTCGGGAGTGCCCTTACAGCCGCCGTGCTGGCGATTGGGACGCGAAGAAATGGTTCTCTCAGCACCCCGCGGCGTTCTCTGCGCAGGACATGCGTCAGCGCGAGAAGATGTATGACGGCGAAGTGGTTGTCGAGACCAAGAAACAGCATTGACAGGCCCAGGCTGGTGTGCCAGAGCCTGACGACAATATGTCTTCCTAAGTAGTCTGGAACTCTTGTATAATTAATGAGTAATACACCTGTTCAGCCCTCTCCTGTGTTGTCTCGTGTGCCGACCGACAGTGGTTCGTCGCATGGGGCTCCGGTAGACTCTGACTCAGGCTTTGCGCCTGAGCTGCCACCTCCTCTTGACATTGATGAGCTCCACCGTGCTGCGGGTCAATGTGCATCCCACTCTGGTGCAGCGCCGCCTGCCGGGGCGGTAGGCAATGAGGGACAGGCTGGTACTGGCCCTGCACAGGGTAGCAGCTTGGGGCAGCCCGTGCGATGTATATCAGCCAATGTTCAGAAGAGTGCCCTCAATCTTGGGTGTTTACTCAATAGTAACCGCGACGCTGATATCGTGCTTGTCCAGGAGCCCTTCAAGGGCCACATCAAGCTGGTTGCGTCGTCAACGGATTCAGACGGCGAGTTCTATTTCCATACCACTGCCCACCGTGATTTCATATGTTTGGGGTACTCTGATACCACAAGGGTTCTAGTATATGTTCACACGCGGTGGCGCAGGGCAAGCCCGCAGCTAAAACTGTCTGCAGTTTGCCACGATGACGCCCTGTGCGTCACTATGCGCGTGGAAGGGAAGGACATGACATTTCTGAACGTCTACAACGACTGCAGGACATTTGCTGCAGTAGATTACTTGCTTGACCGAGCGGACATGCTGCCTACCATTGCTTTTATGGCGGGGGACTTCAATCTGCGCGACCCGCAGTGGGACTTTGGCCAGCGCCGTCCGGGTGCCGCCTCACGCCATCTTGCCCAACGGGAGTGCCTGCAGGAGCTTGCACAGGAACAGCTTGGTCTCGCCCTTGTGAATGACTCAGAGGGGCCTCCAACGTGGCTCACCAGGAAGCTGTCTGAGAGCAATGGCGTCCTGGACCTGGTGTGGGTCGATCCACAGCTGGGAACTGTGGATGGGCTCTGTGTTGACGATCTGGGCCGTGGGGCTAGTGATCACGCAGTGCTGCGATGGACCCTCCCGGTGCAAGGCGAGCCGACTGTTACTGCCAATGTCAAACGCGGCTCAGCTGAAGGGGCAGCGTATGTGAGGCGGTGCCGCTCGCTTGTCAATGTGCTGCTGCTTGAGTACAACTCACGCGACCAGGTCGAGACTATTGGCAACTGGCTCGGACACCGGCTTGATGATGCCTGGGCTGAGTTTGCGACCATGCCCAATGTCACTCGGCAATCCAAATCCTGGTGGAGCGCGGAATGCAGCGCAATCGTTAAGGAGGTGTGAACACTGTGGACGATGTGCAAGGAGCTTGTCGTGCAGTGCAAGCGGTGGCAGGCTCGGGTGGTGCATGCTGGGCAGAACTTTGACATGGATTGGCATCGCGAGGTGCTGCAACTCACCAGAGAGGTTGCTGCTGTCACAAGGCGCATCGACGAGGCAAATAAGCGCATGCGGGGGGCTGTGCGGCGTGCAAAGAGGGCCCACTTTGATGGCCTGATTGCAAAGACTGACCCATCGAGGATCTGGGACTTAGTTGGCTGGACCAAGCTCCGCCGAATGCCCACAACCACAGAGCTTGTAGACCAAGCTGGCGTACCAGTCGAAGAGCCAGAGCAACTTGCTGGGGTGTTCCAGGAGCAATTCACGCCTGCGAGCCCCCACTTGGTGGATCTGTCAATCCTGGATGAGATGCCGCAGCGTGAAGAACGCACCTTTCCCCCGTTCTCCACGTACGAGCTACGTGAGGCCATTCGCGACACCAGCAACTTTTCTGCACCTGGGCCCGATCATGTTAGCTGGTTCTGGCTGAAGCGCATTGTGAAGGACCAGTCCGCGTGTACCTGCACTGAGAACGACCATAATCACCTTGACACCGAAGTGCGGGTCCTGGCTTTCTATAATGCCTGCATCCAGTACAGGATTCACCCCACCATATTCAAGCGTTTATGCACAGTCGTTTTCCCCAAGCCTAACAAATCTGACTACTCCAAGGCCAAGGCGTACCGCCCAATTGTGCTGCTCAACTGCTTGGGAAAGCTCTTTGAGAAGATGATCGCGTGCAGAATGCAGTTCGACTCACAAAAGTTTGGCATCATGCACCTATGCCAGTTTGGCGGGGCCATGCAGCACAGTACGCAGGATGCCGGGATCCAGCTGGTTCACAACATTCAGCAGGCCTGGAAGCGGGGGGTGGACTCAACTGCCCTGCTGCTCGATGTCTCGCAGTTCTTTTTGTCCATCCACCATGGCATGATGGCTGTGATCCTGTGGAAGCAAGGCTTCCACGGCAGTCTGTGCGCGTACTTCGAGGATTATCTTATTGCTCGCCAGACTGAGTTTGTCTTCAATGGTCCTCAGTCCGATCCGACAGACTTCTCGATAGGTGTGGGCCAGGGGTCTGCACTCTCCCCGGTCTTGACAGGCCTCTATGTTTCCCCGGTGCTGCACTTGGTCATGCCCGTTGACACTGTGCTCGAGGGCAATGCTACGGTGGAGTTCTATGTGGACGACGGCCTGATCCACATTGCAGGGAAGCTTGCCCCGCAGCATGACCACTACGACGGCCTGATCTACAATAACTGGCTGATCAAAGGCATCTTCGGGTTGATTGTGATGCACCTTGGACGGCTGGGCCTGGGGGTCGAGCTTGACAAGCTAGAGCTTATGCACTTTCGAAGGGCACGGGAGCAGGACTGGAGTGAGAGCGAGCTGCTCGGGCCGAAGCTGAGGCTCCACATTGATGGGCAGCTGCACGCTGTTCAGCCTAAGCGTATTATGAGGTACCTTGGTTTCTACCTGGATCCAAAGCTCTCCTTTCGGGAGCACATTTGGTTCTACACCACGAGGGCATCCAGCACCATCAGCGCATTGCAAATGCTGGGGAACTCGAATCGTGGACTTACCCCGGTGGACAAGCGTTGCCTGTACATCTCGAATGTTCTCCCAATCCTCACATACGGCGCCCAGCTATGGTGGCACCCGGAGTGGAAGGGCAAAGTCTGGATTCAGAAGTCGCTGCAACGTGCGCAGAACCGTGCTGCCCGGTGGATCACTGGCGGCTTCCGCACGACTTCAGCCGGGGCCCTCGAGATGGCCGCCGGGTTGTTCCCTGTGCGACAACATGTGGACAAACTTGTGAAGAAGGCGTGCCTGCGTGCCCGCACCCTCCATGATGGCCATCCCATGTGGGCGCAGCTCCTCCACCCATCGTGGCGGAAGGGGCCGCAGAACATTCTGGCCCTGATGCCTCTGTGTGGCCAGCCCTTGCGGGATGGGGTCACTCCCATGTCTCACGTTGATCGGCTGGGCCGGGCTTGTACCGAGGAGTTTGCGGTCTTTGACAATGAATGTCGCCCCAGCACCCGTGTTAAGGATGTATTCGACGACCAGGTGGCGTTGCTGCGGGCGTGGGCTGGGTCGTTAAGCACTCGGGTGGCATCCGGCAGGGGCATTTTGGGTGTAGAAAGGCCACTCCCTACGACGCCGAAATGGCTGCGTTAGCGCGGGACCTGAACGAGGTCATACGGGACTTGCCCGGTAGCGTGACTGACATCCACGTATTCGCAGATAACCGGGCGGCGCTCTTGTCCATCCTGGCTGCGGGGCGAGGGCCTGCACAAGGGCTGTCCGTTGCGGCCTGCCAGTCGGTCCATTCCTGGCTGACTGCGTCGCCCGCGCATCACATCCATGTGTGATGGTGCCCTGGTCACAGGGGGGTGTATTGGAATGGTGTGGTCGACAAAGCGCCGGTCTTGGGGCGGCTGAGCCGTCAGACGAGGTGTCCTTCGCCTATGCGCGGTAGTGCATCACTGCCGATGCCTATAAGGCGTAGTGGGCAGATATGCACCATCTGCCCTACCGTGGGCGCAACAACTTGATGCAGGTGTCTGACTTTGAGCACTGTAAGCACACTTCGGCCAACTGGTTCCTGCGGACGGCAGGACGGAGCACCACGTACATGGCGCGGCTGATTTGGTTCACGAGCGGGCACTTTCCGCACAGTGCGTTCCACGAACATTTCAACTTCGAGGGGAACCAGCGGTGCGGGGTGGATGTCGAAACTCGCGACCACATTTGGTTTGACTGCGACTTGTGGATCAAGAAGCACAAGCCCCCGAACGCCGAGATCGAGCGTATGCATCGGGGCGAGCGCGGTGTCCATGCAGCCTTGGATCTCCTCCCCCCTACGCCGCCAGGCATGAGTTTGCTGGAGCACTTCCTGCAGGACTGGCGAGAGACGCCGATCGCTCTCGATGACGTCACAGAATTCCTGCGCCTCAACCCGATCGTGGGCACCTTCACCTGGCTGGAGCTGGTCGACCAGGCCTTGGGGGATTGGGCGCACGGCAAAGACGACTCCCTGGTGCTCCTCAAGGTCGACCTGCACACGGTGCGGCGCAAGGCTGCGTATGAGGCATAGTATGCTGACCACCCTAAGGGGGACCTCACCGAGTTTGTTCAGTCGTACGCCCTAGTGGGGACTCACGCCGTGACTGATACGTTCGAATTTGACAATGCGGGTGTCACAGTGCTGCAGGCTGAGTTCGGGCTCGCAGCGGCTAAGGCAAAAAATCGTTGACTTCCCGGAGGCGCCAGGCGGGCAGCTTCACACCGTCTACCTTGTGCTGGCTCGCGTTCTCTCCCACTTTCCCCTCTCTCTTCTTTTCCTGCTCTGTTTATTCGATTGTGTATGTCTGTCTCCCCTGGTATGTAATTATTAGGTGCTCATATGCCCCGTTGTACACACTCTAAATCCGCGGATTTTTAAAAAATAAAAAAATAAATACAGGAACAAGCATCAAAACTACTTCTTCTCAACCTCGTTGGAACCAGTCAAGCAATCACAGATGCAAAGCCTATAATGACCACAGTCTGTGCAAAAGCCCAGAGTGTTCCACTCTTGCATGGCCTCAGATAGGGGTTCAATAACAGCTTTACTAAGGTGGCACAAGTTGTCTCACGAGAGAAATTTGGAACTTTTTTGTTACAAAAAATATGCGAAAACAGCCTGAAAAAATAAGTAAGAAAATGCCATATTTTTCCTCCCGGTATCCGGCGGCCCGGCGACTCGGCAACCCGGCAGCCGAGCCGATTGTCCGCCAGGCCATTGTCAAAGCGCCCGTGGCTGCGGCACCCGGCGGACAATCGGCTCAGCTGCCGGGTTGCCGAGTCGCCGGG